TAAGAATAAGGAACATCTTAACTTATCTTCATTACAGCAAAATATGTAGAATTCAAATACTTGTGTACCTGTGGTTTTGGGGTTGAGTTACTCTTTAATGGAACCCAGCTCAAGAGCATGACTTTGTCTTTTACTGTAATTCTGCCGCCTCTGCATGTAGCTGAGGCTCTGTTTGAGTCTCACCAGTGATGTTGTAGGAGTAGTGGAAGCAGTTGCTGTTAAGTTTGCAGGGCTCCGTTTCTTTAGTTGAAGGACAACCCTTCTCCTCTCCAGGCTGACGGAGCGGGTAAGCACTCCTCTCCCGAGTACTGTTCCCATTGCATGGCTGAGGAGCAGAAGAAAGGATCATGACTTATTCATCCACACTGTTAGAGTGTGTGCACACATGACAAACAAATAACCTTTGTTGATGTCCTTATCTCCTGTAACAAACACCTTTCATTACATTTCCCATTTCATATTTAAAGGCAATGTTTGCCTCCTCATGCCGCTGCAGTTACTATGAAGGTAATGTTTATAATGCATTATAAGCACATTCATAAGACCTTATAATGCATTTATAAGGCTTTATAAAACTCTTTATAAATGTTTATAATCAGGCATGACAACCTATAACAAGGTTTATCAAGTATTATAAGTTTAGCATTTCTAACACAGCACATTATAACTTTCATAACTTTAGTCTGTTATAAAGACGCATCGAGAACTGCTGTAACATATAACAGATTATAAATTCGGTAACACTTTATATTAAAAAGGTACACATATTCACCATTAACTAGTTGCTTATTATATTATTATATTGGCTCTTTATTAGTCATTATAAAGCACTTATTTATGTCTTATTCTTCATGACTGTATTGTACAACTACTACAAGCGTTTTCCCATAACAACCTCTTGTAGAGGAGTAGTACAGTAACAGAAAAGGTAATGAGTCATTCATACCAGTAGACATGGGCTCCAGGCTCCCCAGTCTGATAACACACAGTCCTCGGGGCAGGGCAGCCGGCTGTTGCGCGCCCCCAGAGGCATCTCCTCCGGATCACACAAGTAGTCCTCCACCTGCTCGGAGGGCCCGTCTATAGTGTTCAGCATACATCTGGATACAAAGGGGGTTCAAGTTAGTTTTACCCCATCATCTGTGAAAGGCATTACTGCATCTTTATTCATTTGAACCACTCATCAGCAGGAATAGTTAAAACACTTGACAGTCCATTTTTGAAAAATGTATTTCTGGATGTAATCAACCTTTATCCTGGAAAAGAGATAAGTCATTACTATGTTAAATACATGTCTCTAAAGCCCCTTACAGACATGCACATGCCCCTGAGATGACCAGCCAGTCTTGCCTCGTGTATGGGTGTCCTATCTTCAAAAACATCAAGTAAGCACTATTTTGATAAATTGACCAGATAATGTATGGATATTATTGTCTGGTTGTTAACCTTATAAGGCAGCTGGACTCTAGAGATTACAAAATTATGTGAGAATGCATCTTTCCAGGATTCAATCTATGTTTGTTGCTGGTACAGCGGTACTGAACTAATCAGCATCATTTAAGTACTGGCAGCAATGGGGGTCGGCACTATGTAGCGTAGATACTGTTAGCATCAGATCTATCAGAACTGGAGAGTGTTTCTTCATTGAAAGAAGACCAAAGTACGGCACTGAAGACTTTTCTCCATGGAAAATATGTTTTCATTGTTCTCCCGAGATTTTGACTACGTTATATGGTTTGTTGATCTGATTGGTTGAAGTGACAGACGGTGATAGAAAGATGGTTTGAGTATTTTTTTAAAGTGTTTCCAAAAACAGCTTTCTTTCTGAGCTTTATTGGCTAAATGCAGACCTTCAATTGTTGATGACATTGCAAAAGTCCATGAGTACAGACAAGAATGCAGATTGAGAAAGGCCTAGAGTCTGGTTGCCTCGACATGGTTTGGCTTATCTTACCTGACTTTCCTGGTCTGAACACCTTCACCACAGTTATCCTTCAGGTCCACATTGCTGACCTTCCACACACTCCAGGGCTCTGCCACCCAGACATACTGCCCACAGTCACTGAGGCATGGAACCACCTCGTACACCTGACACACACAAACACGACGGTCTGCTCGTGTACAGGAAATGTGTATGTAATGTGTTTGCAGTAGGTCATTTTTGTAAGAACAATTTTTGTCACATTCGTTGAAACTTTCACTATATCCTGACAGTAGTACATGAGACAGATAATCTGTGAAACAATCAGGCCTGAACAAAAACAACCAATCAGAGCCAAGAAAGATAGTTGAGTTCAGTCGGGAATGAGACTCATGAGAATCAATAATCAACTACTTTCAAACTTCCAACCCAGAGGAACAAGTCTCATGTAAGTTGTTTTTATAAAAATGACCTACTGCAATTTTAACAATTATGAATTACATTGGAATCCAATCTAAATTAAAGTATTATTTATCACATTTTTCCTGTAACAATTTGACTAAAAGCCAGAAAAACACAATTTCTGAAATAATAAAGACCAATTTCTGAAATAATAACTACAGAATGAGGTAAAAACAGTGTACTCACCTGAGCCTGTGGATGGAATTCATTCATCAGAAGAGGAAGGAGTAACAGAAAAAAGTCATTCAGATTATTGTACTTGTACGTGTAAATATGGATTTAAAGTAAGAGTAAAAGGAACCCTCCTCTCATCTTGCACACCACAAAGACAAGCACCAAATTGTCATCTGTTATTGAAACATTAACACATTTTAAAGTGAGACCTCTCTCACCTGGTTGACATGGTCCAGTTTAGGACATGGTCTACCGCCATTGTAGGGCTTTTCTCTGAGCCACTTGGAGCGAACTTTGACCCCACTGCCGCAGGACTTGCTGCAGCGAGACCAGTTGGACCACTCGCTCAGTTTACAGTCAGACGGACAGGGGATGATGCAAGCCTCCTCTATGTACCCTGTAACCAATTACATAAAGACAGACAAGCTTCAGTACAGAGCCATGATCCAGTGACTGGAGCAGTAAAAGGAAGCACTGTTTGTATACTTCTGCTGGAACAGAAATGTTCTGATATTTTGGTAAGGATGAACAACTGGTTTTATTCTTTCTGTGCAGAAAATGGACTCATTGAACATTTAACTCAAAGCTATACTTCAGCATTTTGGAAAACATGCTTATAAAGGGATCTTACTCTTTTTAAGAATGTTCGAATTTTCCTGGACAGGACTTGCTCACAAACAGTCCTATAAAGTACCAGTAGGCCTAGCATTGGCTTCAACTCCAGTTTTAATCCTCCGATTTTACTGAGGAAGTGTCTCAGGTTCATTACGAGTGTAAGTGTTGGACCGCAAATATTATGGTTTGGCTTAGTATGTCTATGTTGTTGTGCTTTCTTTTTGTCCTCTCTCTGTTCCCCCTCCCTTTTCTGTTTCTTTGAGAGCTGGTGTGTCTACACTCTCACTGTGCAATGTCTGTTCGGCTACGTAACCTGAGTCCAGATTCTCCTGTACTGATTCTGCAGAAGATTCACCCCTCAGCTCCCTGGCTCACCTGGCCTGCTTCTGTTCTGGTTTTGGTTTGGATTGTTATTAAAGAATCTTCAGTTCTTTAATAACAATGCTTTGGGGTCCAAGACTTAACTTAAACTAAGAACTTAACAGCAAAGCTACCGTTTCTTGAGTTTAAAAAAAAAATATATGGTGATGTGAGTGAGGGGTTAAAATGCAATAACATTTTTCAGGACAATAGATGACAAATTTAATTTTGATATAAGTAATAAGATCATGATTAACTGTATCAAATGCTTTACGCAAATTGCCTATCCAGTCTAGATTGGAGACGGACCTCTGCTCAGTGGTTCCAGTGGTTTACAAATCTTGGCCTTTTTTAACTTGGCTGGCCCGTGTGGTGATACTGCTGATTTTCCATGGCACAAATGATCAGCATTGATTGTAGGGATAAGCGAGTAAACCATTATCTGTATCTGTATCTGTTCAACTAATTAAATTATCTGTATCTGTATCTGGAATGGACGGGTTGAACCAGGCATGGGTGGTGCTTAAACCAGAAGTGGGCTGGACTAACTGGAATTTGTTAGTTCAAGCCTGAAATTGATATGGGTTAATCAGAACATGCTATTATTATTAGAAAACTATTTGCAGAATTGAGAATTGCTGTGGACAAGCAGGCGCACACAGATACTGCAACAACGAGTAGCAGCAATTGTGTGAAAAGCACATAGTGAAACTCAGAAAACAGACATTAAACAAAAATGACCGGCACTGTATGCCACCTGTGAGAGCTCCCACAAGACAAGATCAGCCACAAGACATGTACAATTTTCAGGAATAAGATATATTAATTATTATCACAATCTATCCACAAATACGCTCAATATGTGTCCATAAAACACAGCTTTAATTAAAAGATTGTCCAAGGTAAATCAGGGAAAGGTCGAGGGAAGAAATCACACCAGAAAACACACCAGAACAGTGAATTAATGAGTAACTATGGGATCTCAAATTGCAGTGTTACAGCATCTGAGGTAGGATTTTGGACAATATCTTGACTGCATATTGATCTGACCTGTTGTGAGGAGATGTAAGGAAGATGGAATCCTCAATTTGATGCTCTGAATTTCTTATCAAAAACAGAACTCTAAGCGAAACCCCCAGCCTGGCTGCCAATCAGAAACTTTCCTCAGGCATGAAAGCATTCTCGCTGTTACTCATTGGTGCTGACTCCAGATTCACCCATGCGGTCCTTTCCCTGACTCCTTACACAAACGAACCTAGCATCCCTGATATCCAACTGTAGCCGGAGGGCAAATATCAACAGGAAGGAGCAAGCAATAACCATGTTACTCCCACAATACTACCGGCAGAAGAGAGCCAATCAAACACCAAGAGAAAGAAGCAGTACAAACTCTCAGTCCTGTTTTTTTTTTTAAGTTACAACCATCAAGCAGCTCCTACTGGGAGCAAAGCTTTGACTCACGACGAGACGGGTTCCTCAATGAGCAAATAGACACACTCATTCCTCCGAGTGCTTTGATGTGTTCTGTATTTTCCCTAGGCTAAGATGCAGAATACGACAGCACTTTGATTCGTGATTCCCTTTTCTCCCTTTACTGGCATATACCGCTGAATGTTAATACAGCTCACCGCAAAGTGGCCTGACAGATTTGGGCTTCTGGCAGCAAATACAACACCAAGTTCCCCTGATAGATTACCCAATTCACACTGGAGGTTTGATGAAAGGACGCACGGACAACTGAACCTGAGCTGTGTCAAATGTGATCAGTCTAAAGAGGGCGATTGATCTCAAATATTTGAACAGGATTGCATGTTGAAGAACAGTTGTTGTCTACTTTACCTATCTCAGTGAGTTACATTGAAAGTTGGTTCCTACAGCACAACTACAAATAAGATCACGGTGGAGACAATTGGTAGTCATTTCAGGGTTTGTCTTGTTTGAAGTCCAAATTTTAATTTGAGTTACATCCAATACATTTTCATATCCACGGCAAAAGATGTTGTTTGTCAGTGCCTTCCAAAAGAGTCACACAAAATAAGAGATCGTTCACATGCACTGGTATCCTGGTTGTCTTAACTCTACCACACAGCCCCCAACCCTCACTGAGATGGCTTAGGTCAATGTTTTTCAAGATTTACACTCTCTAGTTTGGACGGGTGGCTGAAATGGAAAGAATTAACCGGCTTTGTGTGGATGTACTTTGTAACTTTTGTGACCACATTCCTGAAATGCAGATTTTTTTCTTTCTGAAACTCAAAGATTTAAGTTTTTCTAAAAAGGAAGAGTAAATTATATCAGCAAAGGTTAATAGGTCCACAAACGTTTTTTAGATTATTTAAAAATTAAAAAATTTTGGATTCCCTATTTACCTGGTGCCTTCTTCAATCAGTTTTCAAATATAGTTAGTGCTGGTGTTGCTAGAAAGAGAGGTTAGGCTTAAGGCTCACCGTGGCTGTTGCAGCGAGAGGTCTCCACTATGCGGTTGTCCTGGTCGTAGCACACCATGGCCTGGTAACGATATCCTTGGCCGCACTCCTTGATGTCACCTTGGACCTTCATGCCCAGTTGACCCTCCATGCGGCCACCCTCAGGTAGTACACAGTCCGACCAGTTGCCCACAGGCTGTGCATTGTACTTGTTACATGGGCAGTACTGGGTCTCACTCACCGGATACATCTGATGGTTTTTACACTGATCCCGCTTTTTGCTCTTCCCTGCAAAAAATATATATTCATAAAATTACTTAAGATTTTGCCATTTTTTGATTACTGATCCTTAAGCAAAGTATGGATACTGTTACACAGTTAGAGGCCTGCTTGGATTGGGATTATTTTTCTATGGAACTGTAGGAAGGACAGTCAACTTTACACATATAAAAAGTTTCATCCAAAGTCAGTTTTTCACATCCATGATCTAAAGGTTGGTGTAATCTGGAAGTCAGCTGCAAGTTAAAGTCTGTCACTCACCGACTAACATCCTCTTGCGGGTCCTGACGCCCACGCAATCGGCTGTGCAGAGGGAAAACTTGGACCAGCTGCTGAGTTGACAGTCTTCCTGGCAGGGCAGCTGGCAGGGCTGTGTGAGAGGCGGCATGGAGCTGGCAAACTGAAGACAAGCTTCAATGTCTGCCTGCCCACCATCCTGCTTCCGGCACGAGACAGCTACAGGGGAAAGGAGAGAATGGATTTTTTTTGAGGATGAAGACTTCTCATTTTGTAGTCAACTTCTATCCATTTGGTAGATGTTGGTTTTCACGCTCTATTTTATCACTCTAACATACATCATACCTTGAGTAGTGATTCCCTAGCACTATCCAAACACAGATCTAATAATAAATGTAGTGGTATGTGGTAAATAGGGCCCTTAGAACCAGCAGTTTACAAAAAAGAAACTTCTTAAGGGCTGAAATTTCAAATTTTCTCACTGAGGTGATGTTGTTTGCCTGCTAGCACTCAAAGTTGTGTTGTGTAAGCTAGAGTGTTAGCATAGAATGACTGAGCCAATCATCTATTGGGGACTATTTTTTCATCACACAAACACAAATAACAGAGAAAAATGATAAAAAAGGAAAATACCGTTTGCCCTGTAGGATGACATTTTTGTTTGTTCGGTCAGCTGAAAATTAACGTTACATGGTCACTGTTGCTGCCTGACAGATAATTACGTTGAAATAAACTCCATTCAAATAGTTTCCTAACTCTCCAGTTAGCTGTTAAGCGGAGCACCCAGTGTTTAGGTCCATTTGCTTTTAGCTCTGTAAGCTCTGTTATCTCTGCAAGCTGTAAACACACTGCAGGACTCACAGATAATTATTATTATCTTGTTCACAGGCAAGGTAGAGCCTGGCTACAGTTAGCTAGTTGAGTTACAGTCTATGGTAACTTCTGCTATGCAGGATGTACGGCTTCTAAACGAGAGCTCTTTCACACTTCTGTTGGTCATACCTATCCATACATATATAAAGACAGAGTAGATGACAGCTCTTGAAAAAGTGAAGCCAAAACCTCTGGATCAACCCCTGGTGGCTGACTACAACATAGGTCATAAAGTCCAGTGCCTCCATGTTAGCAGATGGGACATGGGCCAAACTAAAATGTCAAAGTACACATCAAATACATTTTTCCCAAAGATGGTTCCTGTTCTTGTCATGCTGATGTATGATGTACAAGTGTTCTGGTTATCTGATTTTAATTAATTATTTAAAGTTATAAAAGGTGGGTTTCTCGTCATGATTGACAGCTGAGTCCTGCTTGCCATGGAGTTGGCCTGGTGTATGGGCAGAGTCTCATAGTGGCGAAAGATGGCAGCTGCCATATCCGAGATATTTCGGCTTAATTTTTGTACAGTGGGAGGAAGTGGAGACGCAACGTCTTTCTTTTATATGTCGATGGTCACACTACATGTGTGGATTATGTTACAATCAGGTACATGTAACAGTTATTAACATTCCATGGTGGCCAGGAAGGGGACAGAGAGGCCAGAAAGAGGTGGGCGGGAAAAGTAAACATGCCTAGAGAGGGGCACAAAGGCCACAGTGGCCAATGGGTGTACAATTTTCAAGAGAGCATCAAGGCTAGACACAGGATGAAATTCCTGCTCTGATTACAATTATCGATGCATTTATTTATGAGTAGAAAAATACTTTTGAATTGTTGTATCCATTTAATTTTTTATATTATGTTGATTAGTTTTATCTTTAACAATGCATCATATCAGTAGCTTGTTATAGGTTTTACACAGTAATCTTAAGATTTAATAACTAACACCGTAGTGGAGGGCAGAGTATATTTCCCTTATAAATCACTGCCCTAGTGAAACTGATCCATAGTAAAGAAAACATTGGTGACCATATGCTAGCAATGAAAATACCAATATAATCTCAGGGTATCTCTCTCTTACACCCACAACAATGACTTCACACACCCACACACATTCACAAATTCCCTGGAAATACTACAAGTAAGGTCTATAAAATGGCAAGGGCATTTTGAAAGTTTTACTGAGTGCGTGGGTGAATAGTGAGAGGCTTATTGAACTGTGTCTCTCCAGCTCAGAGTATACCATTACAGGTAATGGCCAATAATGACAAGAGCCTCCAAAGATGGAGGAGCAGGATGCTCATCATCGGAATCAGATAATGCCCCCTGTCTCTGAGACTTTAATAGGAGTCTGAGTGTGCGCTCTGATAACAAGTCAACTGTCTGCTGCAGCCTGAATTCTCACTCAGGCCACAGGCATTGGTGCTACACCTGGCAAGTCATCTTTAACGAATAGTACAAGTTTTGTTCTGAGATTTTCCTGCTGGGGTTAAGCAAATGTGAACCCCATGTGAGTACTTTTTGAAGCCTCGAGTTCTGCATTATGGCCATTGCCATGATGGTTTTTCAGAGCCAATAGCAGTGACATACTCTAAATTGAGCTGCTCTCATTGGCTGCGCTTGGTTTTAACTCATTCGTAGCAGTAAACAATGGCGGCTCACACACAATCTCATATTCCAGATAAACACTAAAATATGTTTCTGAAAGGATTTTAGGAAAGAAATAGGAAACACAGTAACAAAATCTGGATTCATATTTGATCTGCCTAGTTTGACAGTTTGATCTGAGTTTGGTGTGTTGAGCTGGACAGACTCACTGAGAATGAGCTGTCAATCATAAGGTAGATACGCCCTGAAGCATACCCTGCTTTATGGTCTATTTTACTCTAAATGGACATCATTTACTAATAAACATCATTGTATGGATGAAACTAGAGATCATCATCTTAATATATCATTTTTAGTGTGTTTTGAATACAGTCTAATGAATGCATTTAAAATCTAAAACTCAACATAGCTGATGAAACCATGTATCTTTATACTTATTTTGACCACCTAATTTAACAAAATGTTCTTTTAATTAAGTGATTAATTAATACATTTACATTTTAGCTGTACTCATTCACCAGTTTTCTTGGTGAATTTAAAAACTGCAGCTACTTGTCATAATCATGAAATTATAAGGGATTACTTAGTATCACTGTACAAACAAGAGTAACTGATTATTATTAATTAGTCATCATTAGTATGTAAATGGTAAATGGAC